TTGCATTTTTAGAATTTTAGTGAGGCATAAATTTTCATATGTTCATTGATGTCTCTGTGTGATTGTGTGTTTTTCTTTGGAGCATTGAGGATTTAGCTGTGTATACAATAGAAAACACAGTTTTATTCTTCCATGTCTCTAGTGAAACAAAATTCTCAACTATGCAATTTAGAGCCTGTCTATCTGTGTCTGATCTCTAACATTGTTTTCATGAATATGAATAACCCTCAGCTCAAGGTATAATCATTTCCAGCTGCTATCCATTAGTTCAAAGTGTCTTACAGAGAAAGGGAGCTGGAAACACACTTACCTCAAGAGAGCTACTGCAGGTCGCACTTATCTTACAAGACTAACTTAAATAATAAAATACAGCATATATGTATACTTGTACACATAATACACACACTTGCACATGCAGATATGGGCACACACACTCACTCACCAACACATCATTAAAAAACGGACTGTAGTTTTGATGTGGCAAAGCCTGTGCTCTGAATATGAGATTTCCCCACAGGAAGCAGTAGCGCTGCTCATGTTTTTTAATCTGTAGTTACCACCACATCACCCGGGAATGTATACTCTAGAGCCTGTGAGCATACTAGAACTACCAATTGAATATTGAACTCAGACGAAAAGCCCAGAACATTTTCCTTTCTGCTTCTGTCACACCCCCACTGCCACACATACAGACCCCACATATACACACCCACACCCCCTGCACACAGAAACAGTTCACTCATTCAACCACAACTCTTCTTATCTAAGAAATCTCTTTCCATACAATGATTGGAGGCTAATGAGACTGATCATCCTAGACTAAGAAATTAGAAAGGTGAGATTATGGGGGAACTCTTTGGGTTCTTCTGTTTTTCATAATTTCTATTATGAGGCACATAGCAGGTAGAAAGCAGGAAGGATAAGGTGTAGAAAGATACACATGCAAATAAATGAAGCCTTTATATTCAAAATACGATTTTTAAAGTACAATTTTTGTACTTTAAAACATAAATGCTGTTGCTAATTAGTTTTTATAACATAGTTCCCCACATCATCAGTTTGCTTTGTCATCTTTGGCTCTTAATATACAGTGCAAAGGACCTAGATTAAAGTTTGTCTATAATTCCGAACTTTAAATTTGTGACATCATTACATTTTGTAACACCAATAATTTCTTTAGAATTTCCAAACATGATTTTATTATATTGCATAATGTTTCTCAAAATAATCTGAGAGGTGTCTATTTTTAAGTCAGTTTGGAATTTTCTGTTTCAACCATACCTACAGTTGAACACAGTATTATTTTTACTTCTATTTGGAAATACAGTAATTATATTTTACAGTGTTCACTAATGACATTGATTAAGGATAATATATCATTTGTTGGGCTTCACAGCATGAGTATAACACTTACTTTCAGTATTTTAGAAATTGAACAATTTTAGTCCAGGAGGCAAGCTGAAACAATACTGTTATTTGTAATAAGCAACCAACTTAATAATATGAACTAGTAGAGTTTAATGAGGCTGTGTGTGTGTGTGTGTGTTTGTGTATGTATGTGAGTACATATATACACACTAAAAGTAATTCTGTGTTCTATAGATGTGACAAGCAGATTCACACTGATTTTTTATACATAAACACAGTATCTCTAGACCTATTTTTTATTAAATTTGTCATTTACATGTCTATCATTTTGGAGTTACATTTTTACTCCTATCCTCTAATCCTACTTAAAATAAAAAAATGTGGTGTATATACTTTCTAAGCACCTTCATATGTTAACTCATTTAATGCTCATAATTATTAATATATAAGTACTATTATTGTGTCTATTTTATAAACAAGCATTCTTGACCCAGAGGTGTTACAAATAATTCAGTCTTTCTCATCCTCTTTATAAGTGCGTCTTTTTCCTCATATTTTACAAGGTATCGCATTCAGCCAGTCTAGGGTTCACGCAGGGCAGTCTGACTGAAGCCTGTGTATTCCGCAACAGAGCTGTACTGCATCCTGACACAATTGTTATGTGTTTCTATGCTTCATGTGAAAGTTCACTAAAGTACTTTTCCATAATGATAAACATTTCTTTAAAACTTTGCATCATTTCAACTAAGAGGCAACTATCATTTTCATAGTTTTGGGGTTTTCTATTTTTTTAAAGATTTATTTATTTATACAAGCACTGGGTACAGTCAGAAACACACCATGTGGGACCCTCCTCCGGTGGCCGGGGAGCAGCCGGGGATCGAACCTGCGTTGCAAAGACTGCAGGCAGCTTTGCAACCCAGGCTCAACTGCTGCGCCACAGGGGAGGCTCATTGAGGTTGATTTTCTTAAATACATTTGTTCAAAGACCTGCAACTTTATAGCTAATTCATCAGGAAGTGTAGCACACTGAACGATCCTCCCAGGTATCACCATTAACTTTGCAACATCTGGCAAAGGCTAGTCTCCTCTGTTATGGGCAGTTTTTCCTGTAACAATGTCACATGCAATGAGTGTATCCATATTTAATTAAGCTTCCTCATTTCTTCTTTTCTGAGCAGTCACAAGAATTTTAAATATTGCCAATAATAATTATGCTAATAGCTAGAAGATACTTGTAAATCTTTTGCTTGTCAAAATAAGGGTGTTTAATATGATTTTAGAAGTGTTCTGATATAAATCATCATAATTTTAAGATGTTGCTCTTCCAGTATCCTATATAGAGTAATAGATTGTCCCTTGCAATAAATTACATTACAGGTGGTACCAGGTAACTGTGTCTAAGCTTTAGGAGTAATTGTGTAATCCTGTAAGGCTATCAGGAAGCAGTTTCTGTGTTGGAGTCTTATCTTGTTGATTCCTTATCACATTATTTCTATGATATCTGACTTTCTTAATTTTTGGCATTGTTTTCTGTTTTAACAAGTTAATACTTATAATAGGGCAATGCTCAAATTTTGGGCTAGATTCATATTCTTATGAGACTTGTTCTTTATTCCTTCCCACTTAAAAAATATTTACTGAAACCTATTTTCACGGCTATTTGCCTCTAAAAGCAAATGTTCATGCTGAGGTAGATTTTCCCTTGTAGGAGTTCACAGCTGTGAAGAGAAAGCTTTTCTTTCCAAGTGAGTTAATAAATAGACTGTTTTGAGAATTCTGTATTGGAGTATTTCTCCTGATTAATGGGTCAAAGACTACGAATTTGTTGTTCTTGGAGCTAATAGAACAAACCACCTGCAGCTTAGCATTGAACACTTTGGAAAGCTGAACTAATTTAAGGGGTTTTTTTGTAATGAATAGTTTGAAGGCAATAATTTTTCTTAAAAAATTAAAATTCAGGGGCCTCCCTGATGGCGCAAGGGATTAATAAGCACAGCACTATGAAGCAATCCATAGCCTCTGCAGCATGAGTTCGATCCCCAGCCAGCCAGGGAGCAACCCACATGGCGCAGCAGACATCTCCTGACTGGCCAGCTTCTCCCCTCATCAGTGCATTTCATTCAGTCCGCCTATTCTGTTTCCCACTCTGTCTCTAGTGAATCCTCTCACGCCCCACACCTCTGGCCTGTACCCTAGCTCTTGTATGAATAAATCAATCTTCAAAAAAAAATCAAAATTCAGACATGACCTTTGGTCCAAATTAAAGGTTTTAAAGTAGTGCAAGTTTCTCTCCAATGTAGTCCCTAGGCATACAGTGGCCTATTGAAATATACAAATATTTAACTGACAAATGTGAAGCCTTCTACCATGCCCACTAACTTGTGTTAACTTCTTTTATTCCATTTTGATGATTAATCATCTAATTCATAAAAATCTCAAGATATGGGAGGAAATTAGCCCCTGCTATATAAAGTCACTGCTCTCAATCCAACGCAGGCAACTATCAGCTTTCTTTAATGATGTCCCTCTACTCTATCTTTATGTCCTTAAAAACAGAATGAAGTAACCTGCCTGCTTAAATTCTGGCTCTTCCATACTGCATTGCTTTGAGTTGTTTCTTCAGTTTCTCCCTCTATGAGGATACTATTATACCTCATATGGTTGTTCTGAAGATTACAGTTATCATAAAGTCCCTTAAATAACTGGTTTCAGTGTCATTAAATGCTAAATAAAATAGCCAGAGCAAACTTTGTAAGATGCTACTCCCTTGGTCAAACTCATTTTAATAGCCTCATACTTAAAAATTAAAACTTTAAATTTTAAGTTCAGTAAGCTTACCTCTTTGATTTCATCTCTTACTATTTTCTGCTTATTCTATTCCAGCTACATTAGTCTATTCCCCAGATAATAAAACAATTCTACTTCAAATTCCTTGTATTTGCAATTCCCTCTTCCTGGAATACTTTCTCCCCAGATTTTTGCATGCTTACTCAGCTGCTCAAGTATTTGGAGGCTTTCTCCATCTAAAACAGCATACCCCCAATACACATATCCTCAAACTCTAGTCCTTCGCCTTCTTTGCTACTCTTATGACTGACTTTGTTAACTGTCTTTCTCTAACTGGAATGTAAGTTGAGCAGATTTATTTTGGTCATTCTGGTAGTCCTATACCTTGGCCACTGCTGGGTTTAAAAAAACAATTTTTTTTACTGAGAGCTTTTGACCAAAACTTACTATGCTTTTTTTTCCCCCCCACAGTAAAAACCTAACATTTCCTACTCCGATATTTACACTTTCATAAGGGTTTTCTCATTAGGCCACAACTTACTTTAGAAAGTAAACTTTGGCCTTCTAAAAACAAATATAAAATAAAGACAAATTCTTATTTGCAAAGTGGAGGGTAAACAAGTATGACAAAAATGTTGACATTATTTCCAAAGTGAAGTGTTTAGTACTGTGTAATAAATTGAATTCTAGAATTAGCCGCATTTTTTAAAATATTGTTTTTCATATATTTGTATATAAAGATCTATGGAGATTTCAGATCAGATCATGAATAGGTAGTACTTCATGACTGATGCACATGTACTTATTAATTACAGTTAAGATTTTTTTTTTCTTTTTTGCAGATTAATGACTAAAGAGAGTGAAATCAGGTTTGTCCACAAGGAGATGGGTTTAATACCAAGCTGGGGTGGTGCTACCAGGTTGGTTGAAATAATCGGCAGTAGACAAGCTCTCAAAGTGTTAAGTGGAACTCTCAAGTTGGATTCAAAAAAAGCCTTGAGCATAGGAATGGTTGAAGAGGTGTTGCAGTCTTCAGATGAAAATGACTCTCTACAAGAGGCACAAGAATGGCTAACGCAGTTTATCACAGGGCCACCGGAAGTAGTTAGAGCTTTGAAAAAATCAGTTTCTTCAGCAAAAGAGCTTTGTTTCGAAGAGGCATTACGAGTTGAAAAAGATCTTATGGGAACAGTTTGGGCTGGACCCGCAAATTTAGAGGCTATTGCTAGGAAAGGAAAATTTAAATAGTTTTTCAAAAATATTATGTGCTTTAAGTAAAACTCTAAATTTTAAAACATAAAAGTTAAATGATCTTAAACATGAGCATCAGCATTACCCTGAAGGCTGCTACTAGTATTTGGTTTTATGTAATTTCTGGAATATCTGAACTCATTGGCTTAGTTTTCAGTATATTTGGGTCTCCACCAAGTAACTTATAACAATTGGTTAAAATATACTTTGACTTAAAAATTATAAATTCCCAGGTTCCCATAATAGTTTTAGTCTTTAACAAAGATCAGTTTTAAAAGGAAAAGTTCCTACACAAAACCCATTCCTGGTATTATTATTCACGTCTTTGTACCGTATTACTTGGAAATAACTTAAGAAAATAACAATAAACCTTGCAGTTAGTGAAAAAATTTGGAGCGGTCAGAGAATAAGATAATAGAAAGTATGATGAACCACTTTCCTCTGTTCCAAGAGGCTGAAATATATGAGCCATGGGGAAAGGTCCTCCACCTAAAAAATTTGGAGCCTTATTTGATGTGTTTAACAGTTTTCTATTTTAAATTATATACTAAGCAATGGTAACTATCATACGGAACCTCTACAGTCTCTATAAAGTTGACCATTCATTTGTGTGTCCTGGTGTTTTCAAACTAGTTAAGTCCTGCTGTTTATGTAGTAAAATTTAATTTTACATCGAAACTGCCTGTCTTCAGAGCAATTCATGAAGCATCTTTATATATTTGCATTTTATAATAGGTTTCTTTTTTGTGTGTGAAAACTAGTTTTCTTTTATCTTAAAAAGTAAATTTTATAAAATTACATAACTTAAACTTTTATGTGATACAGATTTTACCAAAGAATTAAGTCCTAATTCTAATATCCACAGAAGTTAATTTCGAAGTAGTTTTTGCTATAACATTGAAATCATATTACATTTGAAATGTCAAATTTGAAATCATATTACAAATAACTTGCATGTGCTTTATCAACATTGTCTTAATTGTTTTGAGTTTGAAAATACAGTAAGACAAACTCACATTATTTTTGTTTGGAACAAATTTCTAGATTACCTAGTTAACCTTATATATCCTACCTTGCCAGATTCTATATTTTCTATAGAGTGAGTTTGTGTCTACTAATGTGTTTATAAACAGGCCTACCATGTAATTCAGAATTGTGTTAGAACACTGGTAATGAAGACAGGCAAGGAAAATCTAAAATATATAATTGCCTTACAACCGGCTTTATGTTTATTGCTGTACATGTTTATTCCATGCACACTGCCTTTGGATTCTGCTTATTCTAAGTCAAACTCCTGAGCAGGTGACTACTGGAGCTGAACCACCAATTCAAACTATCACCTTTTTAGTGACTTTTGGCTACTAATGTCAAAATGTCTCCATCCCCTTTTCAGACTCAAACAAAAGGCAAATTATTTTTGATAAACTCTAGTGTTTATTAAATTATAAATTCTGTAATCAAAAAGAAAAATGCGGATCAAGAGAAACCTCAATCTACAACGACTAGACAGCAAAGCCTGTGGGAACACCATGAAGTGTATTACAGACAAGATTCTGAAACTTAAATTACTAGCTGTTTTCTTTACATTTCCATGTCAGTAACTGTACTATTAAAGTTGTTATTCATCTATTTTAAAATCTCCCAATTCATATCTATTCTCACATAATTAAGCTTCCTGTTCATACTGATACCAGACATCTCAGAGGTGCCAAATTTTAGTAATGGTTTTGTCAATCCATGCAGAAAAATAAGATACAATGCAAGAGTCAGATGAGGACTGTGATGCACACATAATACACACACACTGGCTAAAAGAACTGAAGAAAGTTTTTAAAACTATGAAATAAACCTCAAGAAAACTGGGTTATTACTAACAGCTCTCAACTATTAACACCCAAGTTCCTTACATTAAATAAATTTCTCAACAGAGATATGTTAGACTTTTAATTACAGACCTATCCTTCCCATACCCCTTCCCACCCCAACTCCCAAAATGCACTACGAGGGATGAGTATAATGTTACAACGGGCAGAAATTTACAGATAACCACTTAACCTTAAGCATGGAGCTGAAGACTTTTTTTTTTAAGTTTAAACTTCAGTTACTGTGCACTGTCCATCCGGCCTTCTGGATCTGACACTGACACTCACTGTTCCACCCCCTGCTACTGATCGATCAGTTCCTGATTGATCTGATAGATCAGATATTGTCTGGTTTGCATTAGGAACCAAAAGTCTCTGTTGGGTCAAGTGTTGTGCAACAAGCGCGGATACATCCTCACTATCACTACTGGCATCTGATTCTGTTTCTTCAATGGAGGTGTCTGGTGCTGGTACCCTTCCTGAAGATGACGACTCATGATCTTCTTCACCTTCCCCTCTATGACTCCTTTCAGCTATGCTGTCTCCACTGAGTTGTAAATGAGCAAAAGAGTCTTCCAGAGAAGTGCTTGCATCAGGGGATGGTGTTGCAGGGCTTGTTAACTGACCATCTACTGAGGCCAGTGGCCTTACAGAAGAAGATACCAGAGGCTGAACAGAAGCTCCACTCTGTGCTGATATACTGTCCGCTCCATCGGCAGAGCTCTCTCTTGCTAGGTTTATAGTATTAGCATCACAGTCCAGCCTAAGTCCAGCCACTCCCTTCTTTGGTATATCTATTATATCCCGCTTAATCTTCCTGCGGCGTCCATGTTCATTTCTCCTATATTGAACCATATTTTCAAGATCAGCAACATACAGAAACCCGGCAATTAACATTTCAGTGCTCTTTTTACCTTTGGAAAAAGCATCTTCCAGCTCTCTACTAGTACGCTCATCATACTGCCACCACCCATTTCTTCCTTCATAATACCATGCATATTCACCATTTCCTCTACTTGCTGCTTTGAGTTCTTCTGGTGACAATAAGGTTGGCTTGTCAAGGAAATCCTCTGGAATTTCTTGTCGACAGAGAGCACATCGCTTCCCCAGCCATGAAGCTCCCTTTACACACAGATAGCAGAAAACATGCTTACAAGGTAGACTGACTGGGTGAACACATGTTTGCAGACAAATGGCACATTCAGGGACAGTTAGAGAAGGTGTGGTATTAGAACAGGATTCATTCCCTTTTCTGTTCGTAGGAAGCATGTTTATTGAGTGATCAATTTCACCACAGCCAGCCATCCTAAGAAAATAAGAAAAAATATATAATATTAAAAGCATGCTTTAATTCTTGTAATCATTAAGCACCTATTATACGTAAGTCACATACTATAAAGTGGACATACAAAGATGAAAGTAGAGAAAAACAACTCTAGTGCAGAAAAATATTTTTGATTTTTCATTAATTTTTCCTGGGGGGAGGGGGCAATGAGGTACACAATTGTCAATCCCCCTCCCACCCCATACAACCAAGGTATAATTTTTTTTTAATTTTTTTAAAGATTTTATTTATTTTTAAGTAGAAGAACTGGGATGTAGGCCCAGGTGCGGGGGCCATGGGGGAGGAGGCAAGGATTCACTGGAGACAGAGTAGGGAGCAGAACAGAAGGATCTACTGAAATACACTGCTGAGGAGAACAGCGGGCGAGACAGAAGAGGTCTGCTGCGTCATGTGGGTTAGCTCCCTGGCTGGGGATCAAACTGAGGCTATCACCGTGGCCTGTTTCAGTGGTAGCACTGAGACTACGTCTAGGCCACGAGGGAGGCCCTAGATTTTCAATAAATATACCACTCTACTAAGTCATAGAACCTATAAGATAGAACTAAACGCAAAGTTTTAACAATCCATTCTTGGTTTTATGGTCTAGAAAACAGAGAAACAAACAAGTTAAAAGTAATTTAGGTTAGGGCCTCCTTGGTGGCGCAAGGGGTTAAGTACAGCACTGTGAGGCTATCCCCAGCCTCTGCAGCATGATTTCGACCCCCAGCCGGCCAGGGAGCTGACCCACATGGTGCAGCAGACCTCTGTCTCGCCCACTGCCCCCCTCAGCAGTGTATTTCAGTCAGTCTGCCTGTTCTGTTCCCCAGTCTGGTGAATTCTCTCACCACACCCCCGTCTGGCCTGTACCCCAGTTCTTGTATGCATAAATAAAACTTTTTTTAAAAAAAGTAATTTAGGTTATAATTAGAAAATAGCAATTTTATAGCCTTTTAGGATATTAGTAAATGACAATTTTGCAAATATTTCCCTGTATTAATATACTTTCCATACTTCATAAAATATATCAAATTCCCTATCTTTGCTCTGTATCTAAAAATGGTTATTCCAGTCATTTCATTCCCCTTCAGTGAAATACTCTCTACTAACAGCTGTTTTTGTTACTGTTGCCTTTTTCTAAACCATATGCTCTTCTTGGTGACTTTTTAAAGATGATCTCATATATACTCATGGCTTCAATTGTTACCTATATACAAATGAGTCACAAGTTGTTATTACCAGTCCAGGTCTCTCCTTTCAATCCGAGACTTATTTCTAATTGTCTACCTTAGCTCTCTTTTTGGGTAATCTTGAAGGCACAAAACATCTCATCATCTGTTTCCATTTTATTTATTCCCAAAATGCCCACATGGTAACAAACTATGCTTCTGCTTATCCAAGCAGAAATCCATTACTGAAACTTCCCTTCTATCCATCCCATCAAAATCATCTGCCAAGTATACCCATCTCTAGCCAACAGATAAACACTGTTTGCTAATGTATATTACTGCATATACCTTTTACCCCTTCCTTAAAATGCTGATTTTAGGATAAAGACCAGGATTTATATGCCTTGCATAGCCTGGTTTCCCCTACCTCTTAAGCCAGCCTCATCTCACATCAAATTTCCCTTTGTTCAGGCCTCTAACCACACTGGCTACTCCTTCCAAAAATAAGGTTTCCTCTATATGAAAAATGTGCTCACTTCCTATCTCTCATGGCCCCTTCTAGCCCCCCACCATGGGAAAACTACTACCCATCTTATAACCCTCTTGAGAAAGCTTCCATGACTAGGTCAAATCACTTTTTTCCCCCTAACTCTTAGCTACCATGCACTTCTTATTTCTAACCTTAAATATTTTATTTATTTGATTATTAACATCAGTCTTCCCCATAAGTTCCATGGGCTTTATGAAAAGGCAGGGTCACCTTTGGCTTACCTCAGTATTTCCATTCAGGACCTGGCAGACAGACAACACTCAAATATTTGCTAAGAAAATACATTTTTTCAAAAAGTAATGTGATTTTATCACATTATAAATTTATTTTATTTTAAATAATTTACACTAAACCACCTGACTGGTAAACACTTTTTCGAAGCATTTACTTACACACACCTTGGGAATGCATAAAAATTCTGTCAGTGTACTTACAGATCAGCCCTGAAGAAACATACTAAAAATTATATAATGAAGAACTGCAGTTGGTCAAGGGAGAGAGTAACTTAAATTAAGGCAGCTGTTACACAAAGCTAGACAAGAAATCTAAAAAGCTGAGTCTTAATCTCCCTTATTATTACTCTCGGGCTGAATACCCTTTGTCTAAATTTTATATAAAAATCAGAGTTTAAAAAATATCAGTGTTGAGAAGAAAAAAAAAAAAAGCCAAAAAATCCCACTCTGTGAACACTGAAACTTCATAAATGTTATAGTCATATAAGATCAAGGGAGAAAATCACATTACTTTTGAAGATGCCCTGAAGAGGAAGGAGATATTAAAAAAAGTGTAAGATTTATCAAAATGGATGAATGGAGCTCAAACACTGGTATAAAATTTGAAAGTCTGCATTATCAAGTCAGATAACATTTTTTAAACAATATGGTCCATGTACAGTGCTGAGTCTCACTTGTTGTAAAGATGAACAAGACATACAGCTACTCTGTTAAATAAGGAAACATATATGTGGTAAGCAGATAATCACAATATTGCCTGATTCCTACACTAACTGAAATGTGTTAGAATGTTTATTGAAAGTAATAACGGGGGGATGAAAGGATGGACATTAAGAAAGTATGGGGTGCAGAGGAGGCTGGGAATGGAAAAGACTCAAAATAGAGACGTATGAAAGGCAGTGAGTCATGCAAACAATGAAACAGCAGGATGAAGCTGTAAAAATAATCACAAGCCAAATCATGAAAGCCTTTTTGTGTCCTGCTGAAGAAACACTGATCTGATTTGGATTTTATCCCACAGAAAACCAGATATTTTTTAAAGGGAGAAAATGACAAAGAGAACAGACCAGTGCTATATAAAAAGAAATGGAGGGGAAGCTCTCACAGAGACAGGAAACCATTAATTTTAACAGCTGCTTAAAATGAGTGACAATTTCTCTGTCATCACCTGACTCTGCCATTACACTATTTGCCTTTGTTTAATGTCAGGCACTAGAAAGTGAATCCAGTGGTTATAATAGAGGTAGTCAGTAAAAACGTTTATGCTAATCAAAATTTGAAAAACAATACTCTTAGGCTTTCATCACAGTACATCCAAAAAAAAAAAAAAATCCATTCTCTTACTGCTTTTTCTATATTCTCAATAGGCAGGATTCAAAATGATAGTCACGTTTTTCAAAAGACTGGACATAACTAGAAAAGGAAGCAATACACAGTTTAAAGGGAAAGGAACTGATCATTACGAAATGCTTAACTCCCAAACTCCTCGACTTTTAGTTACATTCCCAATTAACTCCTTTATCAGAAAACCTAAGTTATAGAAACCAGTAAATACAACTTTTTCCTAACCCATGGCAAGTTCTATCACCCAATTATGACCTCTTAATATGTCAGGCACTATAGGAGCTTCAAAGTATTTTGAGATAAATGCTTGCCTTCAAAGATCTTGTAACAACACTCCAAGTTACAAGTGAAAGCATATGCTTCTCAACAGATCAATTAATGCACTCCACCTACTACCCCCCAAAAGAATTGGCTGAACACACTGTTAGACTCAAAAGCTTAAATACAAAACCTTAGCACTTCCCAAAATGACAAGAGACACAGGGATACTATATTTTCGCCATTTGGTAAAAGATTCAGAATACTTTTGTATGTCCCAGTTAGTATTACACTGCCATAAAAGTTTATGTACATTACTTTCATTCTGCCAATACTGTAAGTAGCAACCAATGTACCATTAAGAAATTATGCTGGGGGGAAGGGGAACGCATACACTGTGCTTCCAGGGCTACATACAGACAAAAAAAAAAAATGTGAACAATATCAAAAGATATTTGCCCCAACTTTAAATAGAAATACTATTGGTTTAATTTTTCTAAAATGCTCAACACTGACTAAAAATGATATGGTCATACTTTCAATGGAGTATATAATAAAACTATCTTGTCAGAAAAGTAGATAGCAGTAATTAGAGCTCAAATTGCGAGATCATGTGAAAGAGTATATATAGCAGTTATTCTTTTGGGTCCAATATTTTAAATACTATAGTTGCCAAACTATAAGTCAGCAGAATGTTCACTGCATCTTTCATGAGTGACATCATGCCAGACAAAGTTCCTATTAACCTGGAAAATGGAAATACGATGTTTGTCATGTAAAAATGTTTCAAGAATAAAAAAGTTCAATATAGGCGAGATCAGGGTATTATAACATTTTAAAGCACATTCAAAGCCTAAACAATAAGTAAACACAGCTAAGAAAACTGGAGACTTAAACTCAGTATGAATTAAAATGTGACTAATGTTCTAAATTTTTAAAAAAAATCTGTTACAGTATGAAGAAAATGCCCTTAATCTAGTGAAACATTTCGGTAGTGTTTATAAGCCTAAGATCTTCTTTTTCATAAAAACTCAGTACTGCCTGTTTAGCTCAGTCACTTAAGTATATTACTATGTAACAAAAAAGGAGAACTTAGAAGACCTAGGGTCTTGCCAGACGTTCTAGTCTTCTATGAACAAATTCCTCTATGTTCAGTTAACTTCTGAGGGAGAGATTTTTTTGGAATTCTACATTAAATAATTTAATGTGAATAATATAAAATTGATACTACAGTAAAGCATCTAAAGGTTAATAAAAATGTTCATTTTGTATAGCTAAAAATAAGTATAAAAGACACTTGATTTATTGCATTTTATACCAGCCACTTAACTTACTGCAGCTTTGGAAAAGTCATGATGCTATACTTACATTTCTATTACAGATCCCACAGATGTCTGTCACAAAAACAAAATATCATCTTCACTAGTAGTCAGTCAATTTGCAGTATTTTCTCTTCTACACTGGTTCATCCTATACTGCAAAAGAAAAAAAAATTAACATCAACTTGCTGTAAATAAATTAATAGCAACAAAAACAAAATTAGTAAAATACGTACGATGCTTCAACAAAATTCAGTAAATTTTAAATTTTATCTTAAAAGTGAAAAAAAATTCAAGACAAGGTGATGCACGCTTTCACCATTGTTATTCAACACTGTAGTGCAAAGTTTTATCCAGAAAAATTACACTAGAAAAAGATATGAAAGGCATACAAATTGATAAGGAGTTAAGTACAACTATATTTATAGAAATAGTACCGTTGTCTCTAATCTTTATATTGAAATTCCCAAAGATTCTCCAAGAAAGCTACTAGAACTAATAAACAAATTCAGCAAAGTTGCAGGTTACAAGTTCAACGGACAAAAAAGTTAGTAGTGTGCTTCTCTATCTAGCTGTCAACCATCCAAAAAGGAAATTAAGGGAGCAATTCTATTTATAGCTGCATCTAAAAGAATAAAATGCCCCCAAAAATCAACTTAACCAAGGAGGGGAAAGACTTTTACAATAAAAATTACAAAGCAATGCTGAAAGAAATTAAAGAGCAGCCAAATAAATGGAAAGACAGCTAATGTTTATCAACTACAAGATCATGAAGATTGTAAGACTACCAAACTGATCTACAGATTTAAGGCAATTATTATCAATATTTCAAAGCTTTTTTTTAAATTCTTTTTTTATTATTTAAATTTTATTTTTATATTCCCCTTACAATTACAACCCCCTTATTTTGACCCCAAGCCCTCCTTTCCCTGCCCCCCAGCTCCCATAGAGTGTCTCTGGCTCATAGTTGTTTGTTGATTTTGATATTTTCTTTCTTATAGTTATTCTTTTTCCTGGTCCCTTATTTAAGTTTTCTAGATTCCTGCCATGAGTGAGACCATCCGGTATTTTTCTTTTCCTTTCTGGCTTATTTCGCTGAGCATGATCCCTTCCAGCTCCATCCATGTTGCTGCAAATTGCATGCGTTTATCTTTTTTGAATGCTGAGTAATATTCCATGGTGTATATGTACTCTATCTTCTTGATCCAGTCATCCATTTTGGGGCATTTGGGTTGTTTCCAAAGCTTAGCTATTGTAAATAGTGCTGCTATAAACATAGGGGTGCAGGTGCTCTTTGGAATTGATGTTTCTGTGTCCTTTGGGTAAAATACCTAGGAGTGGAATTGCTGGATCATATGGAAGCTCTATGTTTAGTAGGTCAAGAAATCTCCACACAACTCTCCATAGTGGTTGGACCAGTTTGCACTCCCACCAGCAGTGCAGGAGAGTTCCTTTTTCTCCACATCCTCGCCAACATTTGTTGTTGCTAGATTTTTTAATATGTGCCATTCTCACTGGTGTAAGATAAAGAGCTTCTTCACAGCAAAAGAGACAATAACAAAAACAAAGAGAAACCCCACCGGCTGGGAGAACATTTTTGCACACACCACTAATGAAAAGGACTGATCACAAAAATCTACAAAGAGCTGATGAGACGCAATAAAAACAAAGAAAATAATCCAGTCAAAAAATGAGCAGAAGAGCGAAAAAGAAACTTCTCTGATGAGGAAATGCAAATGGCCAACAGGCATATGAAAAAATGTTCAACATCACTTGTAATCAGGGAACTGCAAATCAAAGTTTTTTTTTTTTTTTAAGCAAAAAATGGAAAAGCCAGACCTCATATTCATATGGAATTATAAGTGGTCCTAAATACCCCAAAAATCTTGAGAAAGAGCATAGTTGGAGAACACCCACTCCTGACTTCAAAATTACTATAAAGTTACAGTAATCAAGACAATGTGATATTGGCATAAGGATACACCAAAACATTAGAGTCTGGAAATAAACCAATACATCTTATTGGCCAACTGATTTTCAAAGGGTTACCATGTCAATTCAAGTGGGAAATAATCGTCTCTTCAACCAATGTTGGGCCAACTGAATTTGCACATGCAAAGAAATGAAGTAGGAGCCCTATTTCACATTATGCATAAAAATTAATTCAAAGTGGTCCGATAACCTAAATGTAAGAGGTAAAATCTTACAATGCATAGAAGAAAACAGAGGTAAAACAAAACAAAAAGCAGGAGTAAACCACCATGACCCTGGATTTAGCAATCAATTCCTAGATGACACCAAGAGCATGAACAAAAACAAAACTAAACAAAACAAACAAACAAAAAAACAGATTAATTAGACTGCATCAAAATTTGAAGCTTTTGTATATCATAGGACATTGACACAAAAATAAACAGAACCTACAAAATGGGAAAGGCTTTACAAGTCATATCTGATAAGAATGTATAATATAAAGAATTACATCTCAAAAAATTAAAAAATGGGCAAAGACTTGAATAAACATGTCAAAATACAGAAATGGCCAAAGTAAGCACAGGAAAAGATGTTTAATATTAATAGTTCTTATGAAAATATAAATCAAAACTACAGTTATATAACATTTCTAATCTATTACGATGGTCATAAAAATTGTTTCAGGAACCAGTACTGGTAAGGATGTAGAGAAACTAGAACCCCTGTGCACTGCTGGTGGGAATGGTTCATGTAGTTATTTTGGAAGAGCGTTTGGTAGTTTCTCAAAAAATGTAAAACATAAAATTACTATATACTCTACCAATTCCACTTTCAGGAAGAAACCCAGAATTGTAAACGGACTCAGAGATGCGTGTATACTAATGCTGACTGCAAAATTATTCATAAAAGCCAAAAGGTGGGCACAACACAAATGTACACCAAACAGAATGGATAAAATATGGTCTATTAAGTGAAATGGAGTAACAGCCATAATAATGAATAGAATTCTGACACATGGTATAACATGGATGATATTTCTTTTGAAATGTTCTATTTGGACAAAGTAGAAACACAAAAAGTAAAGTGGTTCATCGTTAGTACTTAATATATTCCACAGCTACTGCCTCCCTTACAAGAGTAGTGTGTGCAAAGACAAAGCCTCATGTTAATACCTCCTGCTATTACAGATATGCCCAAGTTTACAAGATATAAGGTAATGAGTGCTGATGAGAAAAAAAGATTCCCTTTCTCTCACCACCCTTAATCACACCAAATGCTGTCAATTTTTATTCTCAAAACTTTTAGAGCTCTACCTTCTACTCTCTTGCCATTGCTAGTGCCCTAGTTTAAACCTTTATCATCTCTCTCCTGGACTGCTGGTATACTGAATATCTTCTACCATATGCCCATTCCAATTTACTTACTAAATCTAAGAACAAAATATATAAAAGGCAAAATGGACCATATTCTTTGTATACATGAAGCCTTTTATTGGCTCTCAACTTATAAAAACAAAGCTCCATAGGGCAACATTGAAAGGTCTTAATGACCTAAAACCTAAATAACTCTCTAGTATTTTTGTCTCCACAACTACACTCACAGATTAATCCTCTAGTTATACCAAATTACTCATTTAGTTCTATATTTCCTCCAAACTTTCATTTAGTTCTATATTTCCTCCTGCCTGGTATAGTCTCGTTCAAAGCTTATGAATGCTTCCCTTGCCTTCAAAATGTCCCCTCTCCTGTATTTGTACATTTTTCTATTACTGAACTTATGCACCAAAACTATTTGTTCGCTTCTGACTTTTCACTAAACCATATGCTCTCTGAAGATAGGGACTACGGTTATGTCTCTAAGTGACTAGTAAACTGCCAACCTGTTTTTGCTGACTTGAATTACTATTTCCTGCATGAATGAAAAAACTAACTTCCTAACTACTGAAATAAAATATTGAAGAACTATATTTCTGCACATAAAACAACGTTTGATCAACAGTGATCAAGGCACCCAGTTATAAAAGAAATGTAAGTCTTTAACATATATTTAAAGAACTTGAAATCTAACAGATGTAGTTACTAACATTTATAAATATACAGACTCAAGCCATCTCATTCTTTTGACTATTTACTCAGCTATTCTTCTCTGGCAATGAATTCTCCAAATTGCAGGGAAAAAAATCCAAGAATAAACCGACTTTAGGAGATCTTACAAGCTATACCTATATCGCATGGATATTTTTCCAAGTAAAGACTAAATGGTAACAGTGGGAGAGGGAAATAAAACCTAAGCAGCAATCTATATCCTAGCTATATAAACGTTGGATGCAACCAGCAATCTCAGCATTTTCTGGCAGTTCTTTACAAATGAAAAATCTGGAGCCCCACTCCATTCCTAAAGAATCAGATCTCTAGGTAATATGCATAGTTAAGTTCACTGAGCACTAACAGACCCATTATGTCACTGAATCCTCAAAGCACCTTGTTAGTACTATACTAGTACCCATTTTATAAATGAGGAAACCCAAGTTAACAAGCCCCAAGTCACAAATCTATCAATATTGGGAGATAGGATCAAATTCAATTTGATAGGATTGAAATATCCTATTTGATAGGATCAAATACATGTTTAAAAAATCCTTTCTTCAATGTACTGCATCTCAGAGAAAAGGTCTAGAAAAGCATCATACAACAGGAATATGATGAAAGCCATATCTCAAAATTTAAAGTATTTTGAAAGTTTCTATTAGTCACAATAATAATAAAGAGAAACAAATAAAATTAATTTAAATAATACATTTTATTTAAACCAATATATTTAAAACATGAGCATTTCCACATGTATTTAAGTATAAAGAAATTGTTCATGTGACATTTAGCATTCTTGCTTGTGTACGAAAATACACTTTTTGAAATCTGATGTGTATTATAAATGTACAGCACAACTCAGTTTAGACTAGCTACATACACAGCAAGTGCTTGATAGCTCCATGTGACTAGTGCTACCACAATGGGCAATGCAGTTTTCAGTGTCTTACAGATAAGTATTTTTTTAAAGCACAAAACTGACAATTTACTGTAAGAATCAATAAACAGTGAACATGAACTTCTTGTTACTTTGCCCACATCTTTGCTGGACACAGACAAAAAATAAAGCTACAAATACTTCTATGGCAAAAACTGATTAGTTTTTAGGTGGTCCCAATTCTGCTAAACTGATGCATCAATTATAACCGCAGAGTATTATACTACAAGTTGGGCACAACACAGGGTATGGCATGTAATACAGTCACGTGAAGAAGTTCTCTGCCTTCAGAAAACTACATTATTTGCAACCAAAGAAGGGGAAAAAAGGATGTTTTAACCAAATTTAAAAGACAGAATATTGTAATTGTAACTAAAGGCCAGAATTAATTTGGCAAACACCTGTAGCAATCAATGATTTGTAAATGATACACCAACTCAATACAGTTTATAAATTTCCACAGTAAAATTTATCACAATATTTTAACAGCAAAGACCTATTAATACATTAAAGTTCCTTCTTTTGGTGCAAATTTATGTAGAAATGAACTGTTAGGAAGAAAACATAAAGAAAAAAGTCTTTAAATCAGGGATTTTTTGTCCTTTGTAACTTCTAGAGAAGGAAAAAAAGTGACGGACTAAACTAAAAAATATGTAACAGCTAAGAGATTATCAATAAATTTAAATCATTTACTCACACAATTACATAAGTATACCTACAAGTTGTGACCACTAAAAAAATTGACATTCCTAATACCTGCAAATAACTGTTATCTCTAAAAATATTTGGGATTAATAAATATAATCCACTTTTCAAATGGAATTCAAGGGCCTCCCTGGTGGTGCAAGGGATTAAGACGCAGCACTGTGAAGCTATCGGCAGTCACTGCAGTACGAGTTCAATGCCCAGCCAGGGAGGTGACCCACATGGCGCAGCAGGCCTCTCCTGTCTAGCCCTTGCTCCCTTCAGCAGTGTATTTCAGTAGATCTGTCTGTTCCGTTCCCCACTCTGTCTCTGGTGAATCCTCTCACCCACCCTCCTCCCCACCTCCCTGCATCTCTGACCTGCACTCCAGCTCTTGTATGCATAAATAAATAAATCCTTTTTTTTTTTTAAAAAATGGAGGTCAAGGTAAAGATTCAAGTTTTTTCCCCAGATAATATAGTCAAATAATATCTTTCCAAAGAAGTTAAAAAAAGATAATACTACAATTATCAATAATTACAAATATCTGAAGACCTTCCTATATTTTTCCATTTACTAAAAGCTAATATTTAATAAAATACTTTTTAATCAAAAAGACAAAACAGGAAATGTTCCATATTAAAACAATCCAATAATAGGAAAGAATATTTCAATCCTTCCCAGTCTTTGTATATAAACAAACAAACAAACAAACAAACAAAAAAAATGGATAAAGAGACTGGGTATTTAGTCGATACATCTTAATCTTTCTTAGAGTCCCAAATTGAGAGATGTAACTACTGTTTCCATTTTTAGCTTTCCCTATCACCCACCCTATTAAAACTTAGCTTGCAGAAAAACATACATTATTTCCTTTTTGTATAGAAATTCCCTTAAAAAACATTACAGGCTAGCAATCTGTGTTTTTCACAATCTTTTAATACTCCAGCATTATACCTTTGTCTCTCCCACCCCAATGTGGGCTTCACATTTTATAGTAACAGAGCATGAAATGTGCATGTAAAATTACACTATGTTTTAATCACATCAAACAAGTCTCATAGTCTGCAACCATTTTATAAATAAGGTCTTGCTGCTAGTTATGTATGACCTTGGTGGACTCATAACTTCCACGTCTTAGCTATTTCATCCTAGTTTATAATTCTCTAATTCAAAACTTTAAGTATTTTAATTAACAAGCATTTAACAACAGATTTTGTTTTAATTAACCCAAAAGGTAGTAAGCCACGAACACGAAATAGTCCATAATAAGCACAGGTGGTTGAAGCAGAATGCTAATAAGACAGTTTCCATACCTACAAAGACCGTTCCTAATCCAGCAAAGTCAGGTCCTTAGGCACAATTAGGAAACAGGCAGAATAATGAAAATGGTTTTACTCAACACCTTCTCTACACTGGGGAAAAAAAGCATTCAAATACCCAACTGATGTGTGTCAGGCATTTCATGCTAGCAAATGGCTAATACATAAAATAATATTCTTGATACAGAACAAAATTGTGAAAAGTGGAGACTTAACACTATCTGCCTCTCTCTTCTGAAATTCAAATTGGAGGAAACTAAAACAAAATGCTTTACCAGTTGACACATGCTTTCAGAAGGAAAAACACCATCTCCTCCCCCATTCCCTCCTCTTATCTAATGATCAGCTATTTGGAAAAAATAGTTTTTCCTAAGATTATAATTCTACCAAGTTTTTAGCAACTGATTAATAACAAAGCTTCCGAATATTTAAATAACATTATTTCATTTTGCCCACAACTTATATAGGCCCATTTGAAACAAATTCTAAATCAAAGATCAGGCTTAACAAAACACTCCAATTTAAGACATAATACAAACACATCCAAAACCTATTTCTAGACTGGCATTTCACTCTTCCACTTTTCTCTTAAAACAAGAATTAACTGACCCATTTTTATGTGTGTTTAGAACACCCAGACATTCAACACAAACAGTATTTGCTGGTCACAAAAACAGCAAAACCAACATCATACCCTGTTATTTTGCCGTTTACTTTCTTCATATGTCCTATACTCCACATCTTTTTCTAAATATAGACTCACTTATTAAAAAGACAACACTCCTAAGTATCCCAATTTCTGTAATTACATACTACTTTCAATGTCAATGTTACACTTCACACCCTATTTAAAAAGTACAGACTTTGGGGGAGAAGGGTTGTGTCCTTGGCACTTGAAATGTCAATCACACAAAAGACAAAGTTTTTTCTACAATTCCTTGGCTTTTACATCCCGCAAACCTCCCTCAAGTCTACAGTTCCAGCACTGCAAAAATACTACCCAGCAAACAAACGTCTGTACTCAAAACTTGAGACGTGCTCACTAAAATGGCACTCAGAAAAGAAAGAAAAAAAAATACGAAACGTGGCTAACAAGGGGAAAAAAAGATGCAGTTGCTAGAATGTGTGTAAATGCAAACCAATTTTGCAGCCTTTCTCCGGAAGCCTACAGAAAATAAAACAGTGACAACAATGGGAGACAACACTTTCCAACGGGATGGGCGGGGGGTTAGGGAGAGAGAACTCTGCACCCCGCAACCAGCAGAACAAAGCAACAGCCTGGGCTTTTAGGATGCACTGAGGTTTGGAAGCTCAACGGGTATTAAGAGCTCCCTTAATTGTTCAGATGCTTTAATAACCGTCAATACGAGGAAAAACAAGCAGCACGGGGTTTAACCCGGACAAGGTGGAGGCGCTGATCTCAATATTAGGCAAGAGCTAAACAGCGAGCGAGGGGGGAGGGGGGCGCAGCGAGAACCGGGAGAAAGCAGCACCCGAAGACACTCCGCAAAAAGAGAAAATGCACGGACTGGGCGCCCTGGCTTCCATCTGACCGAAGGCAGACCCGGGCAGAGCCTCCACCGCGGAAACAGGGTGCAGGGCGCCCCCAAACCATCGTCTCCCATAATCCCCAGAAGGCCCCCGGTACAGGCCTGACACCACCCCAAGGGGAAAAGAGAGGGACCCGGCGGCCACCACAGGCGGAGACGCGGACCCGGCGGAAGAGGCTGCGCAGTAATGGCCGCTGCTCCGCCTCTCGCACCCCGGCCGCCGCTCCGGGCCGTCGCCCAGGGCAAGGGCTGCGTCGGCCGCGGTCCACGCAGAGCCCGTCACCGTCTTCACGACCGCGACAGCGGCCGCGGCCGGGGCGGCGGGGAGGACCGAGCGGCCGCAGCCCGCCTCGCGCAGACAGCCGCAGTCGCGCCGGCCCAAGGGCGTCCACCGACGTCGGCCCCTGACCCGCCGCCGCCCCTCAGGCCCCGAGCGCCGCGCCGACCTGGAGCGCGTCGCGGCCGGGGTGACACCGCGGGCCCGCGCGCCCCTCCCGGAGTTAGGATGCCGGCGGGGCTGACTTCCACCCGGCCCCCGCGAGGGCTCAGCCCCGACTCCCACCTCTCCGGCCACAGCCGCGGCCGCCTCGCAGTCTTTTCTCTTCGCTCTCGCAGCCCGCAGCGGCCGGGGACGCGCGCGGCCGTCACGTGACGGCCCGTCGCGTCGCGGGGGGGCGGGGCCACGCGGGGCGGAAGCTGAGTCGCGCACTCGGAGCTCGCGCCGGCCCCCTCCCGGCCTTGTTTCCCCACGCCCCGCCCCTCCCCGCCCAGCCCCGCCCGCGCGCGCCCAGCCCCGCCCCCTGCCTTTGGGGACCTGGGATTTCGCTGTTCAGCCTTTTCTAACTGCTTTAAATCTTGTAATTAGGGTCAGGAGTCTGTAGGAGAGAGGAAGAATGTAGCTCCAGCAGAGACTTTGGGCAGAGGAAGTAAGACGCAGGAAGAACCAGCAGATGGTGCTGCATAGAAACAGCATCGAGCCCCCAAAAAGTTGGATTTGGGGTGAAGACTCTTGGCAAACAAGTGTTTGTTTTCGTCTCTAAAAGTAACTTTTTCACCTTCTGAATGGTAAAGCAGTTTTATCTGGGGGAAAAAGGGATTTTCATTTTGGACCCATTTTTCTTAACAGAATGGGGCGTAGGAAGTTGGAGGGGAAAAAATTAGCCTCAGAATCTAAAACTAAAGAAGTGACTTATTTGGATGCGTAGGTGTTGTTTCAAACATCAAAACCCTGGCAGTATCCTCCATTTTATTTTAGCATGAAAATCAGTCTTTTTCGGAACAGACTATATTTTCCTAATTTGTAGTAAAATGAAGAAATGGATGAGCATGTGTTTTATCTTTAAAACAGTATATATTCAAACATTCCATGCTAGTATCTTCTTACTTGCAGGGCTGTTGCATTTTGAGATCTCATTAACTGTTTATTCGATGTTGAATTTTTTCAGTGTCCAGATATACACATATATTCACAAAGGAAGATGTAGGTTTTCTTTTATTCTTCTAATATCAAGTTATTTCATGATCCTTATATGTCTTGAAGAGTGCCATCTAATTCTCTGATGTTTATTCATGTAAGCAAGAGCAATATTTTTTTAAAAAACATTTGGTAACTTCTCTTTTTTTTTTTAAAGATTTATTTATTTATTTATACAAGCACTGGGTACAGTCAGAAGTGCGGGAGGGTGAGAGAATTCACCAGAGCTAGAATGGGGAACAGAACCGGCAGACCAACAAAATACACTGCTGAGGAAAGCAGCGGGCGCGGGCAGGAGAGGTCTGCATGCCATGTGGGACCCTTGCCGGGGGCTGGGGATTGAACCCGCGCTGCAGAGGCTGCAGGCAGCTTTGCAACCCAGTGCTCAACCACTGCGCCACTAGGGGAGGCCCCAAGAGCAATATTATTTTTATAACATCTATAAATATAGTAACTGAATATTGAAATATATATACTCCATGGGAGTGCAAACTGGTCCAACCATTATGGAAAGCTGTGTGGAGATTCCTCAACCTGCTAAAGATGGAGCTTCCATATGATCCAGAAATTCCACTTCTAGGTATTTACCCAAAGGACACAGAAACATTAATTCAAAAGGGCACCTGCACCCCTATGTATATAACAGCACTATTTGCAATAGGTAAGCTATGGAAACAACCCAAATGCCCAAAATAGATGACTGGATCAAGAAGATGTGGTACATATACACAATGGAATATTACTCAGCATTCAAAAAAGATAAAGTCATGCAATTTGCAGCAACATGGATGGAGCTGAAAGGGATCATGCTCAGCGAAATAAGCCAGAAAGAAAAAGAAAAATGCCAGATGGTCTCACTCATAGCAGGAATTTAGAAAACCTAAATAAGGGACCAGGAAAAAAGACTAATTATAATAAAGTAAAAATCAAAATCAACAAGCAACTATAAACCAGAGACACACTATAGCAGTGCGGGGAGGAGGAAGTGGAATCAAAACCGGGGTGGGGGGCGTGGGAATTGTATGGGGACTATAACCAAGATGAAAATGCATACATTGTGCAAAATTGAAAAATGATATAAAAAATATATAAAATTAAAATAATAATAATAAATACATATTCTCCAGCTGTACGGTTAATTACCTATTTTTATGCCCTCTTAGCCATCCAATTATACCCCTCTATGTTGCACACTCATAAACAAATTTCAGCAATTTGATATATACTGAAATTTCCAGCTTGAAGTGATAGTACTATTATAAACCAACAATGTACAAAGCATCGTTCTAAATAGTTTGCAAATTCTACCTATCCATCCACTAGTAAAAAACAGGAATTAATAACAAGAATACCATTAACACATCTTTCCAGGCTTCAAATTCTTTCTCAGTCACACTCATAATAGTTATCTCAGTGAATAGTTCCATCTGTCCTTGTCCAAATCCATCTTTAATTTCCCTCTTTTCCTTATGTCCCATACCCATTTTGCAAATAGTCTGTTGACTTTTCAGAATACATCCAGAATCTGACTACTTAACACTTCTAGAGGAATATACATTGTCCCTTGTTTGGTGATTGCAATGGCACAGACAGGGTTTGATCTTCTTTCTGGCTTCTAGCCTTGCTTTCCTTCCAGTCTCTTCTCAATGCAGAGGTCAAAATAAACTTATTTAAAAGGAAGTCATCATACCATGCCTTGGTTTAAATTTTCCCACTACTTCCCAAAGCAAAATAAAAACCAAAATCCTTACAATGATTTTAAGACTCCACGCTACCTCTCTAACCTCACAAACTTTTCTCTTAGCTTTGTGTTCCTAGAAGATTCTCCAGAAGCTCTCTACTTCAGTCTTTCTTTACAGCTGTTGTTTGCTCTACTTAGAACACTCCCGTAATGGCTTCCTCCTGTTGTGTACAAATACCGTCTTTTCAGTCAGTGGTCTACTTAGTGTCCTATTTCAAATCACGACATCCTCTACTCCCAATATTTCATATTCTCCTTTATTGTTCCCCTTATCCTTACTACACCATAAAAGATGGTTCTTTTTTCCCTGTGTGACTCTTCACACTGGAACATAAATCTCTGGGGGGATCAGGATTTTGTGTTCTATTTTGTATCTCAACTACTAATATGTCTGAAACATTTATAGAGGTTCTCTAAATATATGTGAGTTAATGAATGAATATGTGCATATACATTTATATACCAAATAACACAAATAAATAAAAAGTTCTTTGCTATTTGTCAGCAGCTATGTTTAAAGAAAATTGAATATAAGGAATAGGATGTACTCTATCTTCACCAGTCACCTGAAAGAAAGATAGAGATGAGTTTTTCTATCTATGAATAATACAGGGTAACCTTTCTGAACATGTCAGAACTATTTTAAAATCATTTGCTTTTTGGTTTTGCTAAAATGTCTGAACTTTCAAATGGTTTACTTAAATAAATCAGAGTCTAACAGTTTCATGATTTCTTGTAATAATGTTCCTGCCACTGTCATTCTATTTTGCTTCATTTGAATCAAATATAAAGGATTTGCAACAGATTGCTAGGAAGTGCTTATTATACAGAACCCACTATTTCCTACAAGCTGATAAAATGCTTTCATGAAAATAGCAACACCTTCAGTCGCCTTCTTTTCTCCACATTAGCCTTCCCATACCCCAAAATGTTTGATGTTGTTTGTTTGATTTAATGTCAAAATATTCTTGTTATTTAGTTACTCTCTGGAGACTCACTGGAGACATCTGGGAGATCTGCATTATGTATGTTACAGTGGAAAATGTGATAAAAACTATTTACTTAGCTAGTCTGGGCAGTGGTTTTCAAAATGTTTCTAGTGTTCCTTCAGGGTTCTTGAGACTCAGTGTCTGAGAAGTGAAATATTTTTTGATAATGGTACTAAAATACTGGCTGCCCTGTTTCTCTCTCTTTAATACAGACACAAACACATACACCTGAGTTTTCCAGAGGCTACACGATGGACCAACAGACTGAATGTAAAGGTAAATATATGAATTTCACTGTGTTGATTAAAGCAGGCATTCAAGAGATTTGCAAACGGTAAAATAATGCCACTCTTCTCACTGTTAACTTTGTTTTTGGAAAAATGTTATTTTTTCAGAAAATGTTATTTCAAATGCTTATGTTAACACTTAAATGTGCTTATTATTTTTAAATGAATTAATATTTTAACATCCATTTTACTTTCTAATTTGTATATATGTTACAAAGTAACATATATAAACAACAGTTCTTTTGAGTCTTTATAATTTTTAAGTGTATAAAGGGGCCCTAAGACCAAAAAGTTGGAGAACACTGGTCTGGGGCTATTTCTTGTATCAACCCTGTTAGATTTTTTTTTCCCCATGTGCCATCAATCATCTGATAGCCATGGACACAATTTGCTCATATGTCTGGAAACAGAACAAACCAGATTCAGGAATGCACCCGTCATTATAGTTAGCAGATGAATAGAAAGAAAGCCAAAGGGGAAGTTTTGGAAAGTAAACTTTTCCATTTCAATTTTTCCATTTTGTGCTAATAGCTCTTGTTCTTATAACTTGGTCTCTGTCCTACCATTTCATGTTGTCCTACTTATAGCAACCAAATAATGTGTACTTTTCTAGTAGGACTCCTTTGTAAACAATAGTGTAGTCAGCTTTGCTTGCGTTTTTTCCTTATCTAATGTGATCATCAGTGCTCTCTCCTTGACCAGTTGTCAATGCTGCTGCTCCAGCCCCAGAAATTATCATTGATTCATGACAATTATATGCCTGGGAAATAGCCTCACACAAGAGTTATGAGTCAAATTTTATAGGTTTACTATAAAATCAAGTATGCCTTTCCAAATCCTGGTTGTATGGATATGTGATGTATATCTTGATTTTTAGTCATCTCATATTGACAGTGTCTTCAAAGTTTATGCTCAGTTTATAAATGACATGACCTCTCATTGAGCATAGTATTAAAAGACAAGAAAATAAAGCTCTAATTTTCTCTTTTTTGGAAATGTATTTAATTTTAAAACTAGATTATTGTTTTAATAAAGCTGATTCTTAGTGTTTCTCTATCAAATAAAGGAAATAGCTTAGTATTGTAAAGACAGCAAATTTATTTTGCAATGCTACATTCTCTTCAAAGTGGTTAGGATTTAGGAAATCATTGCTGGATG